CGCTATCTAACCCAAACCCTACCCCAGACCTAAACCTACCCACGTCATCTAACTGACGCTAAAGGTAAAGCGTCTGTTAGATGACGCTCTAGGATTGTCATCTAACTGACGTTAAAGGGTACCCTAAAACCTTGGATGTTGACGTATGGTCAAAAGCATCAGTTAGATGACGTCTTGGGATGAGAATGCGTTGACTCCATTGACTTGACTTGGTACAAAAACTACGATAAAACCTGTTCCTTGTTACCTGTTACTTCCTGTTTTCGGTCGAAGCCCACAGTTGTCGATTGTAGAGTTTGCGCGCACGATCATTGGTAAACACATGATTTTCGACATCTGATTCGGATGAACTATCCATTTGAGCTGATATTCTCAGAACACCACACAGCACCGTCATCGGAGTCTCCACTGTTGCTTAGTTACCAATGATCGCGCGCGAACTCGACAATCGACTACTGTGGATTTCGACCGAAAACATTAAGTAAATACAGGTATGTGAGCTGGCTAAATTCAAATAATTTTTATTAATATCTTTCACATCTACTGCAGTCAGATTGACCGTGGTCACATGGCTGTGCATTCGTAATGACAAATCAAGGATGTTAAGAGGCTAAACGCAAGTTTAGAAATGCCCCATTGAAGTCAACAGGGTGTGAATTTTAAAAAGACGATAACACGGTGTAGGCAACACCGATTTTTGTCGTTTTTGTCTGTAATGACAGCACTCCAAATGTACAAAAAAAAATGAGCTCAATGTTAAAACTGACCGGAGTTCTCCTTTAAGCATAGCGTCGGTTCTGGCAGGTCACATTAGCCAAGCTAGCATCAGCTGACTCTCAGCTGATCCACACCTACCTATAGGAATACGACGCCTATCACTGTAAACCAACACATTCTCATCCTTTGGCGTCATATAGGTGACGCCATATGGCATTTCGTCTAAATACTACGCACATGGCACCCTTTAGCTTCAATATAGCACACACTGTTATGGGTACACTCTTAGAAGAAAAGGTTCTCATCAGCGATACGTATTTGGAACCCCTAAAAGGTTCTATACAATATTAAAAAAGGGTTCCTCTGGGTTCTATATAGAACCCTGGGGTTCCATACTTGGTCAATAGAACCTTTTAAAAAAAAAAATGGTTCTATATAGAACCATTTTGGAGTTCCATATATGAAGCGGGGGTCGGGGGATGGAACCATTTCTGGTTCTAAATAGAACCATTTCTTCTAAGAGTGTAGGTTTAGGTTTGGAGTAGGGTCTGCGTCTCATATTGACGCTAAAGAATGCCCGTCAGCTATATGACGCCTTGGGTTCTGACACTATATTGACGCTAAAGGGTGCCATGTGTGTAGTATTTCGACGAAATGTCATATGGCGTCACCTATATGACGCCAAAGGATGAGTACAGGCTCCTGTAAACATATATAAGCTCCCACAGTATTATCAGCAGCTATCGCGTTTCTCAGGAGCGATTACCCTCCTCCATCCCCAGCTCCTCCTCTCGCCCAGTCATTATGCCATCATGACTCCCCTTGAATCAGAATAAATTCTTGAGTTAGCCTATGTGACGTGCTCCATGTTGAAAAAAAGTTTACAGAGACCGAGACAGCACTGTTAGTTTTCTTATTTTGCAAAAGACCAAAATTTTGTTTTGATTGTTAAAGGACACAAATAGTATATAAGTATACTGTAAGGAGACACTTTACCGTTTTGAATGATGTATTGCTTTCATCTGTATGACTAACACAGTCTCATCCCAAAAAGTCATATAACTGACGTCTTGGGACGTCTTTTGACCATACGTCAATATCCGCCTTTTTAGGGCCCCCTTAAACGCCGGTAGATGGCGATCCCGGGCCGTCATACAACTGACGCTTTACCTTTAACGTCAGTTAGGTGACGGGTTAGGTTTAGGGTTAGGTTTAGGTCTGGGGTAGAGTTAGGATCCCATAACCTCATCTACCGACGTTTAAGGGGGCCCTAAAAAGGCGAATATTGACGTATGGTCAAAAGACGTCCCAAAACGTCAGTTATATGACGTCTTGGGATGAGACCGGGTTGGTATGACCATATATGTAGAGTATTTAAAGTCGATTTCACCGATATGTTCGCTGACCCCAGAGGGTTAACTGGAGACTCGGTCTGACTAGATCATTTGAATCAGTGAGTTGTTGACTCGAGGAAAGATCAGTCGAAGTCACAAATGAATCGAAATGAATCGTTGAAAGACAGAGATGAAAATGAGTGCAATTTGTAAACCGGACACTACTATCACGCAGGAGTGGGTGATGACTTATTTGGTTCAAAATAACAAGGAGCGGCACTTTTTTTGTGAAACGTAGTAGACTAAAAAATACGATACGACATAAATGGCTATGGGTAGATAGTTCAGGCACCATGAAAGGCAAGGCATGAGTCATCATGATTCACAATTGTACCCTTGAGCAAGGGAATTCACTCCAGCTTTCTACAAGGGGCTTGACAATCCAATAAAGTCACAGCTTTGTGGTGACATTGCTTGAAAGTCAGAAAACAAATTCAACCAACCCTGCGTTGTAGTTGTGGCTATATAGTCATGTCTATCACATCAAGTCACAGCACATGCTCGGGAATAAGTTTAAAGTTAAAAGTTGTGGTTACAGGCCAGAATGTGACATCTGGCTTCCAAAAATCTCGTTTGGCACAATGGCACTGGCTCTTGACCTTGTTTATTTGCTTTTCTATCCACTCTCAATATTGAATTCGGTGGCATGGCACTCTCAACTAAAATAACCCGCGTCCTCTCAAGCTCCTATGATAATACAATATGGAAGAGAGCCATTTGTGCGGGTCGGCAGCACTTGACCTATAACTGGGCTCTCCCTGCTGAAGCCACACTTTTGGTAATGACAGATGATGTTGCTGAGAGAGCTGCACGCTTCTTCTCGAAGCTTCATTATGAGCTGGAGGGGGGCAGAGAAAAGAAGCCGGCGCTTTGTGACTGAGTGACACTAATTGGTGTTCAAAAAAGTTGGAATCACACCTGATGAGCAGAGAACCTTGTTGAACCTGGTTATTTGCTTCTCGGAAGTCATGAAAACTTTCAGTGGTTACCAAGAGTCATTTGATAAACCTATGGAACTGATGTTTAAATTGTTGGTGACATTCTATTAGCCTCGAATTACTATTGTATATCATCTTGTCTAATGTTGATGTCTGCTTGACTGGGGCTGCGTCCGCAATTTCATACTCTCTTAAGTAGGGACTTATTTTGAATAAGTAATTACTTCACAACAGCTAAATAAATATGTTCTAATATGTTCATGTTGTTATTATCACGTGACCTACTAGCGTCAGTTACGTCTCTTCACTGCCATTCACAAATCCTCTCCCATGGCCTCATGGGATAGTAAAGTGTCCATCATATGCCCACTTGTACTCTTTTTTAAGTACTGTGAATTTAGACATGCTTCTTTTGTCACATACTGTTTTACACCTACTATATTGTAGGGAAGGATGCGATTTGGGATGCATCCCATGCCTTGCTTTTGAAGGTTGTGTAGGCATTGTGTACATTTAATACTTTAAAATCAATACCATGTTTGTCTGGTTAGCTTTTCACTTTTTCCAGTTCAAGTTCATTGAACTGGAAAAAGTGAGTTAATACAATGAAGGTGATTAATTTAACCATCAGAAACACAAAATTATATGTTATCTGAACTAAATCAATTATTTAAGTTGATTTGACAAAAGAAAAAATGTTGCGATTGCTACACTGTACAAAAATATTGTTGGTTTAACTTGAAAAAGTAAGTAACCTGGTTGTCTTAAAATTTTAAGTTGATTTAACTGGAAAAAGTGAGTTAATACAATGAAGGAGATTAATTTAACCATCAGAAACTCAAAATAATAAGTTATCTCAAATTAAATATAAATTATTATAAAGTTGATTTGACAAAAGAAAATATGTTGTGATAAAAAATCTTGAAAATATTTTTTTACAGTGAATAGATCACATTTACTCACCCCTATGTCATTCAAGATGTCCACGTCTTTCTTTCTTCAGTCGAAAAGCAATTAAGGTTTTTGATGAAAACGTTCCAGGATTTTTCTCCATATAATGGACTCCACTGGGTACCAAACAGTTCAAGGTCCAAATGAGAGTTTCAGTGCAGCTTCAAAGGGCTTTAAACGACACCAGACGATGAGGGACTTATCTAGCGAAACGATCGGTCATTTAAAAAATAAATAAAAAAGTTTAAGTTTTATAAGCTCAAATGCTCGCCTTGCTCTGTTCTGTGATGAGCGTCGTGACTCCTGTTTGGAGAGTCTATTTTTGAGTTATTTCGCTCGTTGAATCAACCAAATGACTCGAAAAGATTTGTTCATTTAGAGTCACTAACGCGCATCCATTGAAGTCCATTATATGTAGAAAATCCTGGAGTGTTTATCAAAAACTTTCATTTCTTTTCGACTGAAGAAACAAAGACATGGACATTTTGGATGACATGGGGGTGAGTAAATTATCAGCAAAAGCTGATAATTTTTTTTTTTTTTTTAAAGTGAACTACTCCTTTAAGACTCTCAAAAGTGAGATGTCAAACAACTAGCATTAATATAAATAAAAATGCAAATGGGTACTGTAGCTATACATTTTGGGAACACATTTGTCTGTTAGAAAAGATATAGTACACCAAGTCAGAACAAGTAGAAGGACTTGGCCTCATTTGGTTTATATAAAGGCTTTATTTAGGCCTCGAATTAGGGATTGCAACCCAAGCTTGAACAACATCATCACTATGATAATATGGCATATGTTGTCAATGATTGAGGAGTGGATGCCAGTTTTATTTTCCCTGAGTCAACAAAATTTGTTCCATCCAAAAATGATGTTTTTGTATCAAATCATCTCAACAGAAGTTAGTTACAAAAACACAAATGATGAGAGCGGGGTTGGAATGGGAGGCAGTTGTCTCCTGTTTGATCTGACAGTTTTAATTCCAGGGTTAATTACCTCAACCAGCAGTGATAGCGCAGTCACAATGGTGTTGACGTGATGTCTTCTGACAGCGCTACGTGGGAAAAGAGAGAGACAGGCTCAAATGAGCTTTCATGAAGTGTTGTCTTTAGAGCTCAACAGACAGATACCCAGAGGGGCGAACGCACAGATCGGTTAACAAACCACAGTGTATCACTGAAAGCGCACTGATTCTTGAGACAAGAGACAAAACAAAAAAGGATATAAGACTGCAAAATAAAAGTTAATCACACTTTATAAATAACTGCAGTGAAACCCATGTTCAGGTGCAACCTCTTCTTTCATGTTCTCACAAAACATGTTTTCTTTAATGTAACTCAAGGTGTCAGCATTCAGATATAAAATGATAATGTCAATCAGAGAAATACTGTCATGTCATAAATTTAATATACTGAAATCTTGTTTTTCAATTACGAATGGATGGGTGGGTGGTTGAAAAGTGATTGTCAGCCGCATGCATCTGATGATGGTTTTGATAATAACCACATTTGATCAAATCACAATTTATGCAGCAGATATGTTGTTTATTGTCGTAGTTTGCCTAATGAATTAACATTGCAATCAAAACATATTAATTAAAATGACTAAAGACATAAAAACATCAGAGCCTGCGTGGCCTTGATTTTGCAGTACAAGTTTGATATGGAAAGAGGAATATATATATTATAATACTGCAATGGGCGACTTTCATTGCAAACTGCTTGTGATGTTCCTCATTTTTGCTTTAAATAAAAGAGTGTTAAATTACTGAATGCAAAATTAATGTAATATTTCAAATCAATGGGTTTTGTCCCATTGGCTCAAGACTCAGTGTGAACCAAATATCTAACTGGCGAGATGATATCCTTATTTCACAGAATAGAACTGTCAATCATTTTACAATAATGTAAGGAGAGAATAACTACACAGAATTCGTTCACAGTGAGTCATGAGCCTTTCCCGTGTGAGCTTTTGACTGGAAGAGTTGAACCTTTTGAATGATGAAGTCTTGGATTCACTAATGGAGAGATTTTTGCAGTAATCACCACAAAGAAGCTGACACACTCGCTTGGTAATTGCTAAGTTCAAACGATTACCTAGACGTAATTTCAGCCTGAATAATGCATTAGTTATTGCAGTTTTATGGCTAATGCACAGCATCATTAGAAAACCATATGAGAGTCATTTTCTTGGAGGTGACAAGGTCGAGTGATAGCACAGCCCCCTAATGCACATATTAATGCTTCAGAAGACACATGTGAACACTTCACGCCCAGACCTCAACCTCGCAGAACTTCTGATAGCCCTGCAGATTCAATACATTTTATTTTATCTCTAGATAAAAGCAATGATCGCCTTCCACGCCTCTATAAGTGTAGTGGTAGTGTGATGCCGTGACACAGTGAGTCATAGCACTCATGTGGGCCAAGTCTAAAACGTCATAATGTTTAATCATGAATCGGACTGAATTAATCACACGATATAGATTATTTGCCCATTGAAAACTCCAAATTTAGCCAAGAACTATAAATGTGTATTTTTTTATCAAAAGGTGGAACTTAAAGGAGTCACTTTTCAAAACAACGTTTGCTGATAATACACTCACCCCCATGTCATCCAAGATGTCCATGTCTTTCTTCAGTCAAAAAGAAATTAAGGTTTTTGATGAAAACATTCAAGCATTTTTCACCATATAAGGCACTTCAGTGAGAACCAAACGGTTCGAACGCGTTCATCAAAATGAATGAATCTTTTTCCGAGTCATTTGGTTCATTCAACGAACGAAACAAACAAATTGACTCGGAAAAAGATTCCATTTTGAATCTTTTCGATTTCGATTTTGATGAATGAGTTCGAACAGGAAAGTCATGAATGTGCATCACAGAACAGAGCAAGGCGAGCATTTGAGCTTATAAAACTTAAACTTTGTTATTTATTACCATATTCATCGTCTGGAATCGTTTAAAGCCCTTTGAACAGTTTGCAGTTTGTACTGAAAGTGTCTTTTGGACTTTGAACCGTTTGGTTCCGACTGAAGTTCATTATATGGAGAAAAATCCTGGAATATTTTCATCAAAAACCTTAATTTCTTTTCGACTGAAGAAAGAATGACATGGACATCTTGGATGAAATGGGGGTGAGTAAATTATCAGCATAAAGATTTTTTTTTTTCATCAAATACTACTCCTTTAAATTAGTTAAATATATCTGCAAAATATTTTCATTGTCTGTTGATTTTAAGACAGATAATACTATTAATAATACAACTTTTTATTATTTTTAATTATTCCCCAGACAGGAAAATAGTGTCGGCCCAGATCCGGGCCACATCTGGTGCATTTGGACACGTGTATCATAAATGGGCCAGATCTGGGCCGACTCTATGTTGCTGTCTTGCACATGAAGAAAATAAAAACATGATAAATATAAATGCATATGTGTTCCTAGTCAACGGGCCAGTATGCTTAATTCTATCATGTATTTCTTTAACACATCAAAAGAAAAAGGTTTCCCATTAATAAAAGATCTCCCCACTCTCTCTCTCTCTTTTTTTTTTTTTTTTTTGTGTCGCATTTTGTGGATGTTGGCACTTTAAAGCACCTTAGCAGATGCTCATCCTCTGTGATGCTCATTCTTTCTCTCCTTCCAAGTAAAGTGTTGTGTTAATGAGAATTTGATTACTCCATCAAGGCATTGCATTAGAATGCATGATATCATTAGCAGCCACAATCACGGTCTGAGTGGCCACATAGCACACTGTAAAATAATAATAAAACAATGGTAGTGGAAACATGCAGCATGTTACTAACCGTTCCTTACAGTAAACATCTCATAACACTGATGCAATAAACATCTGGGTTATATTAGTACCTTACAGTAATACAAAATGGTTCCTAACTGGCTTTTGCACGTATACATGTAAACTATATTATCAGACAGCTCTCTATAAAAAGTTATATATATATATATATATATATATATATATATATATATATATCAGCAGCATACATACAGTATACTTACGATATATGTAGCAAATCTTAACTGATTGATTGTTTATATCACTGCAAAGTGTGAAATTATTTTATCACCCAGATCTAATCTGCTAAATGCAAAAATAAGGCATGAAGATATTACAGTATTATACATGTAGCCCTCAAACCGTATTCACTTTATAGCCCTTAATCCTGTAATTGTGGACAAATGTGGGCAGAGAGGACTCAGGTGTGATTCTAGTTTTTATTTATTAGAAATGTTATATCACTGTCTTCGATTAAGTTTTGTCTATCCATTTATAGTGTTTTTTTTTTTATTTTGGGGGTATTTTTGAATTTATTTACTTTAAAAAGTACAATCTTTTCTATATAAATTATGCTTATTTTATCTACATTAAAATATCATTCCAATAAGTTCTTAGAGCTAAAACCGAAAGATGAAGTGACTTTGCCGTCAACTGGTGTCTTATTTTGGCTTATTTTAGAATGCTCTAAATTACAGTTTTTCCCATTCATTTCTATGGGTGCCCATTTTTGACCCAAATAACATTGTAGATTTTTTTCACCCACTTAACATTGTAGAATTGAGTAAAAAAAAAAAAAAAAAAAAAAAAAAAAGTGTGTGTGTGTTCAGGAGGCAAACTTAGGAAAAGTAGCAAAGTCTTGTACCGCTCAGATCAAGGGAAGTATTTTTTTTTAAATATTTTTTTAAAAACTAATCAAAACTATTTTGCCCACATTTGTTCAGAATACGGTTTTGGCACAGAACCATGAATCGAATAATAATATGTGTTATTTATGTGAATTATAGTTCTTTCATAATATTCAAAAAAAAAAAAAAAAGACGACATTTTCTTTAGGAATTTTGCTATACAGACAAAAAAAAAAAAAAAAAAAACACGTCTGGAATAGTCAGTCAAAGCGAATTTCAAAGCTCACAATACAAAGCCCTTTATCAAGGGACAAAGCATCCAAGACTGGATAAGGGGGTTCCATTAACTTCCCAGCATGCATCTGCGGATAGTGGGTGAAAACCGGATTGGGAGTGTTGACAGCGCTTCCTGAATAATTTCATATCAGTTAAATGTATTAAGCCCTAGCTGTCATATGTCTCCCTCATGACAGCAGGATAGCTCTTTTAAGGTTTTATTGTCACAACTGTTCAAAACACAATCTTCAGCCACATAGTTGTTGTCGCGCTGTGTTTTGTCTCCTGTGAGCCTGTCTCATTTCCTCCTCTTCCATGGCGTCCTATCTGCGTGCCGCTCTGTATTGGTAGTGCGCACGTGACTGTGCGCGCCTTGGCACACTTGCGACCAGGTGAATGAAATTGGGGTAATCAGAAGCTCGTGCCCAGTTAAGTGAGCGGGAGCATATATACACACACAATGCAGTCATTTGGCTGAAATGAAATGGACTGAGAGGACGGCAGAAGCATTATGCATCCACTGTGAGGAATGAGACTTTTGATTGTGACAGGCTATCGGTAAGCTCATATGGACTGACGTTCAGATCCTTAACTGTTTAGGTGCAGAAATGTATTTAATAAGCTAAGTGTGTTAATGTGGGTGTGAGTTAAAAATTGTCACTGCATAGTTAAAGAAATAAATTGCTAAAACCAAATCCTTGGATGTTTATGGATAAAGTGTGTGCTTTTTACCTTTTATATTTGTAAGTAAATGCTTCAATAGACTTGTTAATGCTTAAAATACAGATTAGTAAATCCTGTTAAAATATAATTGTTTGTGGGACATTATACATCTAAATATACTTACCTGGTTGAAATACTTACCTTGACTTGTGTTTACTGAGACTGTGAATAATACCTGTTTACTCAAAATGCTTTATTTTTTGTATTTAAAGGTTTTTCACCTGTTACTCCTGTTACTCCTGTTACTTGAACTGGTCAAAATAAATTTATCTGAGTGAAATCCGAAGTCTTGTCCTTGTTAAGTGTGGACACCTCACAGCTAGAAGAAAACACTTGACAGTGAAAAACCGGCCTGGCCAGAAGGAAACCGGCCGTGACCAGTGAAGACTCCACAAAAGCCCACCGCAAAGAGGGAAAGAGACTCCACCTGGGGGCCTGGAGGAAATCAACTATCTGCCGTCCACCTGTCAGTCCAACAGCCAAAAAAGGCAACATGGCCGGGTCCAAGTCACTCGAAGAGCTGAAATTGGAGCGAACTACAGTAAAAAGACTTTTTTCCCGACTCACCAACCATATAAAGAGGACCCATATGGAGATGTCTGTAGAGGAGCTACAAGATAACTTCAAAAGACTCACAGCAGAGGGCGCCAAAGTGCTGGATGTAAATGAGGAGGTCGAGGCTGCTTACATTGAACAGGGCAGAGGAACCGAAGCGGAAGCCACACCTGAGTTAAGTGACCAGCAGAGAGCTGACCTCGAGAAGACGGAGAAAGAGTGTGAGCAGAGGTTAAAAGAAGTAAAGCACCTAGTCCAGGAGACACTATGGGCCTCATTTGGTGAGAGAGAACTGACCCTTGCTCTAAAAGCTGCAGAGGCAGAGTCCGAGAACGTCTTCTCCGCTCAGCCTAACACACCCTTGGAGGCATATGACTTTATGCTCCACCATTTGGAGAGCCTGGTGCACAAAGCCAAAGAAGCGCACCAGACTTGGAATCGCTGGGCTCCCCTAGCCGAGAAGCAAGACTCCACTCGTCGGCTGACGGAGCTCGAAATCCAATTTCCCAAGCTGATGTCGAGGAAAGCCGCCCTGATCGGAGCAGCAAGAATTAAAGAGGACACCAATAAGGTACCTGTCACAGCCCACAGCGCAGCCCCTGTTGCAGCCATAAAGCTCAAAGCCACAGCTTTACCAAAGTTTACTGGCAGCCAACGTGAGTACTACAGATGGAGGAAAGAATGGGAGGCTCTGCAGAAGCAAGGCGAACCAACCGGGTCCAAAGAGGTGAAGAAATTTCAACTGCTTGATAGCCTCGACGAAAGAGTGGCCAAGGATCTACGGCTCTCTACTTACACCTCAGCAGACGAGATCTTCAGAGTCCTAGAGAACCGTTACGGAAACCAAACCACCATCGCCATTGAGATTGTCGAAGAGCTACAAGCTATCCCCCCTGTCCGTGGTAATCACCCAAGAAGAATCCTAGAACTCATCCAAGCAGTGGAGAAAGCCCTCTATGATTTGACTGAACTGAATAATGCAGAAGCCATAAAAAACCCACTAGTGTTAAAATCCATTGAGAGTAAATTGCCAGAGTCTTTGAAGAAAGACTGGCTTACCCACGCTACTGACCCGAACAATGCTGTGACCCACTGGAACCGCTTTGACAAGTTACTGGCATATCTCCGATCCCAAGAGTCCATCTACGAGCAGTTAGAACAGCTGGGAGACATCGACCCTGCCAAGGAGAAGACCAGGTTTCAAACAAAGCATGCTCGAACACGGACGGTTAAATCCAGCAGTGAACTAGCAGGCTGCATCATCTGCGGAGATCCAAAACACAAGAGAAAACTCTATATCTGCAGGAGGTTTAGGACCACTAAAAAGCTCCAAGAAAAGAGGGACGCAGTGCAACAGCTTGGAGCCTGCGAGAGGTGCCTCGAAATCCACAACGAACCCTGCAGAAAAACTACTTATCTGTGTGGGAATCCAGAGTGTAGAGACCAACACCACTACCTCCTTTGTCCCTTGCCCAGACACCAGTCCCAAAGACCCAAGTTCTGTCCGACGAGAGCTGAGGGGAAAAGACACACCGAGGCCCAGGAAGAGTTTCTTTCCAAACTTTCACCTGAGCTAGCGCAGCAGTGTCGCAATGCTTTCTGCAACATTGCATCTCAAGCATATAACTCCACCGCAACAGAGAGAGGCCTTCTGGAGGAGACTGGTCTGCACGAGTACCCGGTGATCCTGATGCTCCTTGACGTCACTGCCAATGACGGGCAAAGAATCGGAACACTTATTGACCTTGCATCTGACACGAATTACATAACTCATAAAGCTGCAAGCAAACTAAACCTCCGCAGTGAAGATGTCACACTAGTCGTACATGGCGTCGGAGGGATGAAAGTGTCTGTTGCAACCAAGCGCTACCTCCTCAAAATCCGTGTCAGCACTCCGAGAGGAACTTTGAAGTCCCACCAGCTGATCTGTTATGGACTTGACAAGATTGCAGAAGTGCACAGACATGTTCCATCTGACAAATTGAAGAAGATCTTCCCTGCTGTTCCCCTTAAGGACCTCATCAGACCCAGAGAAATCCAGCTTCTGATTAGTCACAAAGAAGGACAGCTGGTGCCCCAAAAAGTCAGTTCAGTTGGTGATCTGGTGCTCTGGGACGGTCCACTCGGCAAGACAGTTGGGGGCATGCATCCAGACCTCTTCGAGGAAGTCACGCTGAAGGCCCACTCGTCCAAGACTCATTTTGCTAGATCGATGAGAACTTCAGCAGTCAAGTATCGAGAATTCACTACAGACTTAACTTCCTGCCAGTATCCTGACCAACCCGAGATCCAGTCTAGCACAGCCACCAGCAGCAGAGACTTTCTGAAGTGGTGGAGGTGGGAAAGCATCGGAGCCGCCTGCCAGCCGAGATGTGGAGGATGTCGCTGCGGAAACTGCCAGCCAGGGGGTAAGGAAATGACGATAGCAGAAGAAAGGGAGATGGAGATCATAAGAAATGGCTTGACCTACACGACTGGAGATGTACACAGCACTGAACCACACTGGCATGCTAAGTATCCTTGGGCAGAAGATCCAGCAACCCTGCCAAACAACAGGAGAGCAGTTGAGGCAACATTCATCAGAACTGAGAAGCAGCTGTCAAAAGAACCTGAGTGGAAGGCAGCCTACGCTGCTCAAATCCATGAGATGGTGAACCGCAGAGCCGCAGTAAAGCTGCCCAAAGACGTCCTGCAGAGTTGGACTGGGCCAGTATGGTACATAAGTCATCTCATTGCACCAAATCCACACTCAGTCTCCACCCCAGTCAGACTAGTGTGGAACAGCAGTCAAAAGTGCAGAGGTCTCAGTCTGAACGACATCCTCATCAAAGGTCCTGATGTCCTGAACCCGATCAGAGCTGTCCTACTGAGGTTTCGAACTGGTGTCTACGCTGCTCTAGGTGATATTCGGAAAATGTACAACTCTGTCTGGCTGGAAGATCGAGAGGTCCATCTGCATAGATTCCTGTGGCGTGACAGTGAAGATGCTGAAATAAAAGATTTTGCCATTACAAGAGTCAACATCGGAGATAAACCTGCCGGTTGCATAGCCCAAGTCGCCATGCGAGAGACTGCAAACTTGCCTTCATTTAGTCACTTCAAGGAAGAGAGACGCGTGCTGGTAGAAGATGTCTACGTCGATGATATTCTGACTTCACACAACGATCTTGACCATCTGAAATGCCTCACAACTAACATCAAATGCATCCTGAAAGCTGGAGGATTCCACATAAAGCCCTGGGTTTATTCCATTCAAAGTGGGAGGAAAGAACCCGAGAAGGAGATGCCAAAGACTATGATCCTACCAAACCAGCTGACGGAAGACGACAACAAAGCCCTCGGCCTTGGTTACATTATCAATGATGACAAACTCCATGTCATGGCTGCAGTTAACTTCTCGAAGAAGAAGAGAAATATGCGTCTTGGTCAAAACCTGCTCAAGGAAGAGGTCAGAAATCAAACACCTGATCCACTCACCAGACGAGAACTGCTAAGCCAAGTTTCGAGCCTGTACGATCCACTCGGCCTTGTGACTCCTGTTAAGCAAAAGGGTGCCATCCTGGTCAGGAGAGCTTTTCAAGAAGCCAAAGTAAAATACGGGCTAGAGGACACGTGGGATGCTGCTTTGTCTGAAGGTCTCAGAGAAGACGCTATAAAGCTATTTGAAGAATATGCTGACCTGAGCCAACTTCGTTTCGTCAGATCCCTGACTCCACCAGATTTCTGCGCAGAGCCCAGTGCCATCACGTTCTCTGATGGCAGCCAACACGCATATGGCGCAGTGATGTATCTTCACTGGAACTGCAGGCATGGTGTCGTTGTGAGACTGGTCGAATCCAAAGCCAAGTTGACCCCTCTTGACCACAAAGGGGATCCTGTGAAAGCTGAGATATGCGGAGCAGTCTTCGCAGCCCGCCTCAAGACCTACTTCCAGAGACACTGCCGACTCCAGGTCAAGAGATGGTACCATTTTGTTGACAGTCAAACAGTCCTGGGTGCAATACAGCGTGAGAGTTATGGCTACAAGACTTTCTTTGCAAACCGTGTCGGTGAGATCCAGGGTAGTACCGATGTCCAGGACTGGTGGTGGATTCCTGGGCCAGCAAACATTGCCGACATCATCACCAGAGGGGCCTGTCCAGATGCCCTAACCGAAGACTCCGAGTGGCAGTTGGGTCCAAAGTTCCTTCAACTTCCTGACGATGAGTGGCCGAAGAAGTCCGCCAGAGACATTGCAGCCCAAGCTCGAGACAAAGTTACAAGGATCCAGAAAAAAACATTTGTAGCACTGCTAACCAGAAGTCGCCTGAAGACAGCGCATAATCCAGCCCTGCTAGAGTCTGGAAGACCACCAGCAGGAGAAGCAGTCCAACAACTAGTCGATGGAAAGCGCTTCAGCAACCTGAGAAGGCTGGTTGGGACTGTGGCTTGGATCTGGAGAGCAGCTAAAAAGTTCTTGAGTGCCAAAACCAGAGACCAAGAAAAGTGGGAGGCAGTGCCATCCTCGGGTGTCCTTACAGTCAGTGAGAGACGAGATGCGTTTCGAGACCTTTGCCTAGCAGCACAAGAGGGTGTCAACTTCCCAACCACCACAACAGACAGATTAGTTGTCTACAGAGATCAGACAAGTGGACTTCTAGTTTGTGGTGGCAGAATCCAGACCTTTAGAGAAGACCGCAGAGCTGTTCCACTTTTACCGTTCCAAGCTTGGTTATCCACCCTGCTAGCTAGAGAAGCACACAGTGAGTCACATGAGGGAGTGGCGGGAACCCTGCTGCGGATGAGGATAAAGGCGTGGGTCATCAGAGGAAGGATCATTGTCCAAAAGGTTGTTGATAAGTGTATCGTCTGCAAGAAAGCAAAAGCAAGAATCTGTAAACAGATAATGGGAAACTTACCTGGAGAGAGGTCAAGT